GGACAGATTATAGGTGGAAGATTTTTGTTACTGAGTGGTTTCCAGGTTTCTATTTCCTGCAGAGCCAAGGAGAATAGAGTGTAGGAGTGAAGGCTCTAAGCTTATATCAGACTGACCTGCCTACTAGTTCAGTGAACTGAGTGGATATTATCCTCAGCAATGGGTCCCTACTATCAGTTTTAAGAGGGTGCTCTTCTGTCCTAGCCTCAGTCTGGGTTTTTAAAGATGTCTAAGTGCTATCCTTAGCCAACAACTAAACTGACATAACTCAGTCTCACTACTGAAAGCCTTGTCTGACTATAAAAAAGGGTCAGCTCAGACTCTATACTTTTCATTACTATGAGTTCTTTCTAGGGTCAACCTCATAGATTCCAGAAATTTTCACTGTACAAGGTTTTCATACTGTCTCCTCACAAAGACTCCCAATTCCAGTTGTCTGTCTCATACCCACTCTCTCCATTCTTCCCCAGCCTACCTGTTCTCTCATGCCCCAGTCCCCACATTCTCCAGTCCACCAGCAGAATCTATTCTATTTCTCCTTCATGAGTAGGTTGATATTTTCTCTTTGTAGAAACACTTCCTATTTACCTAACCTCCCTGAACCAAAGATTGTAGCTTGGTTATCATTTACTTAATATCTAATAGCTAATATCTGCTGGATGGAAAACCATCCAGGAAGCTTGGTAAAGTAGAGGAGGTTGAGACCAGGAGACTCAGTGGGCATACACCTGAGACTACTCCCTGCCAGATTCCTGGCCTGGAACATGTGCCTCACTCCTCACATAAGGAAATGTGATCTATGGTCACATAGGCCAAGAACAGAGTTCTCTATGATACTGAGTGAGGCCCTGAGGGCTTAGCCAATAAAGTTCCCTTATCAGATGTTCCTTCTTGCAAAAGGTATTTAATCTCAGGTCTATTCTGAGAAGGAGGTACTGTTTAGGTATGCATCCATTTTCTGCCATGAAGAGTCAATAAACAGTTTAGATCCATGGACCATTTATTTCATCACGATCTGCCATGGGGAGCCATGGAGAAGGCCTTCACCTACAGAGCCACAACTTAACTCTTTGGTAGAAGGCCTCTCTGTGCTTCTAGCCTGCCTCTGCCAAGCTAAGGACAATGACCGCTGAGATAAGCCAGTGCTCCCCTTTTCTGATGCTGTCTCCAGTGGGTCCTGACTTCATTCTCAGCTCTTTCATGACTCCCAGCAGTGCCTGAATATCCAAGAGTCTGAAAATCCCTTAGCCCGAGCCTTGTTTCAGGCTTGGGGACGCCTGAACAAACTCTGGCTTTCCCATATCTCAGACTGCACTTTCCCTACAGCCTGGCACCTGTCCTGGCAGCAGTGTGGGATAAGCGCAGTCAAACACCCCATGTTCAGAGCCTCCTCATGGGTATGCACCCACAAATATCCACATATAAATGAATATGTGCCATATTTGCATTTTTGGTCTGGGTAAACTCAGTCAGGATGATTTTTAATAGTACCATTCATTTTCCTGTAAATTTCATTATGCCATGTTTTAAAAGATGCATTTGTATTTCCATGTTTACTGGTCTAAAAGCTGAAATATCTACAACAGAATAATGGGAAAAATGGGGTACATTTGTACAATGTAATATTATTTATAGTTAGAAACAGGTAAAATTTTATCATTTCCCACAAGATAGCAAATAATGAATATTTGAAAAGATTATGCCATTTAATTAACTGTTGAAAAAAACCTTGCTGTGTAAATGTACCACATTTTCTTTATTCATTCTTCTGTTGAGGAACATCTAGGTTAGTTCCAGTGTCTGGCTACTATGAATAAAGCTCTGATGAACACAGTTGAGTCCCTGTATTAGGATGGAGTGTAGACCCAAGAGTTGTATAGCTGGGTCTTGAGGTAGATCCGTTCCCAATTTTCTGAGGATCTCCCATATTGATTTCCATAATGGCTGTACAACTCTGCACTCTGCACAACAATGAAAGAGTGTTCCTCTTGCCCCACATTCTCATCAGCATGAAGCTATCACACGTGTGTTGAGCTTAGCCATTCTGACAAGTGGAAGATATAATCTCAAAGTAGTTTTGATTTTCGTTTCCCCAGTCACTAAAATTGTTGAATATGTCTTCAAGTATTTTTCAGCCATTTGAGATTTCCCTGTTGAGAATTCTTTGTTTTCATATGTTCCTCATTTTAATTGGATTGTTTAATTTTTAAAATCTAGTTTCTTGAGTTCTTTATATATACTTGAAATTAGACTTCTATAGTATGTGAAGTTGATAACAGTGTTTTCACATTCTGTAGGCTTCCTCTTTGTCTGATTGATGATTGACAGTGTTCTTTGTTTTGCAGAAGCTTTTCAGTCTCACGAGGTCCCAGTTATTAATTGCTGATCTTAGTGCATGTGATACTGGTGTTTTGTTCAGAAAGTTTTCTCCTGTGCCAATGTGTTCAATGTGTCCAGTTTCTCTTCTATCAGGTTCAGTGTGTCTGGTTTTATGTTGTGGTCTTTGATCTACTTGGACTTGAGTTCTGCACATGGTGCTAGTTATAGACCTGTTGGTATTCTGCAACATATAGACATCCAGTTTCACCAGAACCATATGTTGAAGATGCTTTCTTTTTTCTATAGTACATTCATTTTTCAATACCACTGACCTGAACACTAAACATGTGTATACTAATACTTGAAATAAAATTAGTTTTCAAGGTGAGTCCTTGAAAATTGAGCATAAAACTGTCATTTAAAAAACTTTTGATTGATTGTTTATTATTTTCACTTTATAGATCCCAACTCCACTCCTCTCCTCTCTGTCTCTTTTTGTATCCACTTTCTCCCTTTGTAACCACTCCCAAAACAATAACAAAACAGACAGAACAAACCAAAAAAGACTATCTCATAATGGAAGCTGTATAGTCTGTCACAGTATACAGTTTTATTTACACATATTTATATGCAAATGTTCATTACATTGAGTCATTGGTGTGGTTGGAGGCAGCTGGTTTCTGTTACACTATCAATACTGAATTCTCATAGGGAGTTCTTTCAGATATCCTACTGTTACCCTGTGTCATGGAGATCCTGCAGCTTCAGATCTGCAAAATCAGCCCTTTTGCATGATTGAGCAGTTGACAGATGAGGTAGACATTGGAGTGGGCCAATTTAAAGCCTTGGATTTGGGCCTGGGAGGTAGCTAAGTTTGTCTTCCAGCTAACCGACCTGCACCAGCACCACCAGGGCAAGCTCTCCAACACTGCCCTGGCTAGCTTATCTAATGCTGTGACTGGAAAAGGGCAGAGTCAACTTTCCTTCATCCATGACCTCAGGGCAGGCTCACCCACACCCATGACACCAGAGCCAGCTCTGCTCTGCTGTCCAGGTGAGGTGCAGGGTCCACTCTCAGGATTGCTGCTGCTGGTGAGAGGCAGGAGCAGCGTTTCTGCTCTCATGACTCCAGGGAAAGCTCTGGACAGCTGGAGTTGACTAGGGGTGAGGGATGGGTGAGGGTATCAGCTCCATATCTAGGCCACTTCACAGCACACAAGTGGTGTGGCCAGCTTTGCATTGGACATTGAATTTGTCCCAGGTGGCAGACCAGATGAGACTCTTCAGTTGTAATATGAGCCACAGAGAGCAACACAGAACCCTGTAGCTGCAAAGCCATGAACCCATACCTGGACCTCAGCCATAGCATGAACTTGGTTTTCACCATGGCCTCAGGTGCCTGGACTGGCTACTTAAACAGGCTGTCCCTCTCTACCCTTGCTTCTCTAATTCTATCATTCCTGATGCTCTCAAACTGTTCTGTTTTCCTTTTTTCTGTTCTATCTATCTACCAAATACTTGCATATTTTAGTGGCTCCCACTGTGGACAAGCCATGTGACCAGCTGGATTCCTCTTCTCATGAGTCATTTGCTTTAAGATCTTCTTGAATTACTTGAGAAACAAGAACAACAAAACCCGAAAGTAATCTACATAGATAGATCTACATAGGATGAAAAAATGCATAACTATGAAAAAGCAGTGATTTTACATAAATTGGTCCATTTAACAAAGACTCTAAAGAGAATATGTAAAATTAAAATTATGAATAAAACTAGCATGAAGGGAAGACTACTAAATTAAATTCAGAACATATTTTAAATAAATATGTTCTGAATAATCATTAATCATATGTAATTCATTTCTTGAATATATCAATGATGTGTGTTCCTATTATCACATGTTGAATTCTACACAGTACTAGTATAATTGTTCTGAATCAAATAACAAAGTGATTTCAAAGTATATAGTACAATAAGTTAAAAAAATACTCAGTGTTTTGTTGTATTATGGCTTAATGTTTACTACGTGTGTTTGCTTTGTTATATACTTATCAAGATTCTACAGTATACACTACACAAACTTGAAGCAATGAAGGATTTGCCACAGTTAATTTAATTGTGACAGGAAGTCATTGGCAACTTGTGATCTCAGAGAACTTTACTTACTGATAAGGATGGATTTAGGTGGAGGGGACCAATACTTTCTGTACATGTAATTGTGTCTGAACTATGTAACAGGTTGAAGCAAGAGTAAGACTTGACTTTTAAAGACTGATCTGGTACATAGCTTCTGTCCCATTGTAAAATTCCCTCATTCTCTACATAATGTAAACCACATTGCCCTAAATCTTTAAAATGACAAATTAAAAACATAAAATACTTATTTATTCAAAAAACTAAATTTAAATGTATCTTTTCAATAGTTAACTGAGCTTGTGACATTAAAAAATAAAACCAATGCTCAATATATAAAATGAGCAGAAAGCAATAAAAGAATTATTATAGTCCCCAGTTTTATGTGCTTTTCGTGCAGAGCTGTTTCCAGATGACAGTTATCGTTGGTCACAACCTCTTCTGTTGGTCAAGTTTTGTCACTAGAAATTTATCTCTATTATGTATGTGTTCCTCTCTTTCCAAGTTTTGATAGAATTAAACATGATGTAATATAGACATTGACTTACTGAGGCATGGCACTGCAGGCTCCCACCCTTGTGCTGTGCAATGAAGGTAGTCCCAGTATGACCCTGAAGGCGTCGAAAACCCATTATCACAGTAATAGCTATAATCCTGTCCTATAGGTACTGGGAAGTAGGGTCTCCGTCTTTCTTCATAATATAGACGTCCATATTTGAATTGTGGAAAATCACAAGGTTTCACTTGCAAAAATAATTAAAACAAACAGAAAAACACCTGAACATTAAATAACATTCAGTTGGTTAAAATATCTACATGAGAAGGCAGAAGGCATCCAGAACAAGAAACAAACAGAATTCCTACAACTGAAGTATATGAGGATGACTTTTTCATGCAGTCATATTGTATCTTATAGCTTACCAGAGTGATGTATTTGAGATATTTGTTAATATCTAATATAATAACTAGTTATTTATAATTTGACTTGGAACTAAAATCAAATGTGATTACAACATATTGAACTCAGCTTGTATGTTCATATTGAAGTGCTGTATTATTTACTGTATAACAAATTATGTAGGTGTTTTATTAAATCTTTATTCTTCATATTTTACTTAATAATAATTAGCAGCTTTAATATCAGAATACTATTGATTTTTCCATGAAATATGATTCTTCAGAGTACTTCATGCAATATGTGAAAAAGAAAAATTTCATCAAATACCAACAAATGCACACAAAATTTCTATAGCTTTCTTCATTTCATTTTATGTTTTATAAGAGATTTTCAAGAATTTTCTATACATTGTTTACAAATTTAAGTTTCTTTTATCCTACGTGTTCTTCTTTAATAAAATTGAGAATTATACTTTTCATAGAACATCAGTAAATTAAATTAGCTGACTGATTTTTTGAATGGTACCAAAAGGAGACAAGGTTTAAGGTATGAATCCTATTACTAGCTCAGTCCTTTAGCTAATAGGTCTGAAAAGAGAGTACTATACATTTTAAGTAGAAAAGCTATTTAATAAGCATACAGAGATTAGTCTTCTCTACCTTATCCAAAAAAAAAATCAGAAATTACACTGTAAAATAACACAAGTTCAGATATTTTCAGGCCAGAGTCACTCCTGATATATATTTAGGCATATTTGCATTGTGGAATCAACTGTAATAGGGGCTGAGGCACACTTTACCACACTGATTCCAGATATGTAATTGTAAACTTACTCAAAAGTCCATGGCAAGACTGTCATAAGATCTAGGCAGGAGGGTCTACATTCTGTTAGTAAGATGAATTTACATAATGTTGAGCAATCTTCTAAAAACATGTTTGTATTTGTAGGCAACCAACAGCCTCAGCATTAATCAGAGAAGCCTTTCCATTCCAGTGAACTATGACGGCACTACAATTCCAGTAAAGAAGATACTGCAAGAGTGAGAGTATGTGCTTGGTTCTTAACACGACATTTACAGCATCCTCTTCAGTGTTTAATAACATGTGGATAAAGGACCACAATGATTCTTAGAGCTAGAATTTGTGATAATGACTGTGAACTATCTTCTGGGTTCTACATAGCCAGTGTAATCACTAACTCGCAACAAATAAAGATACACAATGAGTCTGCACAAGGATGGTTCATCAGAATCCAGAAATGACTAGAGTAAGATCTCAGGGAGCCATGGCCCTTACATCTGAACTATTTCATGCTGAGAGATGCTTGAAAAGGGGAATCAGTGATTCCACTACTAGTGACTAATTCAGGTTCCAATAGACAGTTATAATAGAAGTGTTACACTTATGTACTGGGATAAACCAAGATCATTATGTCAAAGAGTATGTTCTAAAGCAAAGCTAATTGCTTCCTGTTCACCAGGAAACATACCTAAAAAGAATGATCAACATATAGCATACAGCCCAGAAAAGTCTCGTGATGACTGAGAACCATGACTATCTCTGACAGCACCACATTGATGTAGAGCCAGTAGCCAAGTCATTTTCAAATCTGGCTGACAGAAATGGAAGGATTACAAAGTTTCATTGTGAAGCAATTATTTTTGAAGGATATTTACTACTACAATGCAAGTAAATCAGTAAAATTAATTTCTATATGACAATATGCTGACCCAACAATTTTCTAAAAACCTTGAAAATACTTATTAATTAAAAGCATTCATATGAATATATATACACATTTTAATAGAAGTAGATTATAAATTATTTGTTTTCTAAAATGAGTTTTTAATATTACTTGATATCTTAAGTTTTAATACTACTTAAAATATTATATCACATAAAATATTAATCTGAATTAGAGTGTTCTAAGGATTATACACAAATAAAAAGTCAAATATTTGCTGGTAATGTGTCTCCATTTGTTAAATGTATCTCCACGTTAAAAAGAATTATTTCAGTCCTATGGGGATTAATGATGTGACTGAACCTTACAACTACATCTTGGAGCAGGGATCCATCCAGTACTTGTACACTTTGCAACAGTTCCCTGGGTCGAAGGGTAAAAGCCATCTGTACACTCATATCTTATTTCATCTTCAGCAGTGTAGTTAATCCTGTGAGGTGTGTAGTTACCATTTGGGATATGAGGAGTTTTGCATGTCACTTCTGAAAAAAAAATATAAAATAATTATGTATAAAATTAAGAAAATAAAAACTAAATGGCAGATACTTTTTTTTTTTTTTTTTTACTGAAAACTGTAAAAATCACGTTTAACAAGTCCTTCCTATGGTTGACTTATCAGTCAGGCTTCCTCTCTCTCCTCATGATGTACTTTTGCAGTAACTTAATCATATAGGACATCAATGATTATTTCCATTTTCTAATTTTGACATTGCTATTCTCAACTCTCATTGGGCCTATGTATTAATATTCACAAGGTCTAGCTTCTAAATAGCTGTAAAGACTTCACATTCCTTCCTTTTTAAAGGAAATGTGTCAATTGTCTTACAAGGGAAAACTTACTAAATTAAGAAAGCTGTATCTTTCATCTTACAGGAAAATGTGTAATTTTTTTACTAAAAAAAAAACCCGACTTCCGGTCGCGAGCATAGAGCAGGTCACAGGCAGCAGCTCTGTACCCAACTTCAGAAAACTGAGAGAAAGAGGGCCTCCCAGGAGCTTTAACACAGGCAGCATCCCAAGTAAAAATGAATCACCTGTGATGTCTGCTGTTAGAAGTTCTAATCCAGATGCTGGCCTCCAATCTTATACTAATCAGACCTTTGAAGGGCCACTGACAAGAACATCAAACAGCTAGAGATTGACATCACTAATCTGAAGAAATCCCTCATTTCACTGTCTGAAGAGACCTCCTAAAATCGCAAAGATCCTTATTGGACTTGATTTACTCTATTACAATAGAAAAGGCTGTGTACAGCTCTTGACTGTGTACAGCCCTTAAAGAAGAAGGTTGCCTTTACATAGACAAGACAAGGAGGGTTAAAGAGAGCATGAAATAGGTAGAGAAAGCCCTAAGAAAAATCAGAGAGAGAAAGAGACAGATGAATGCTGGTACAAGAATTGGTTTCCAGCCTCTCCAAGGTTGTCAGCCCTATTTCCTCCCATCTTGGGATCATTATTTGGGTTCTTTTTGCTTATTTCTGCTGGTCCCTGGCCCTCAAATAGGCAGACTAACTCTGTGATACAACAGATAAATAATTTGGTAACAAAACCTACTCAGATACATTATCATAAGTTAGCTATGGAGGACCACGAGACTCAAGATGAGGTTGTTACTTTGTACAGGGTGTTTCCAAAACCCATCTCCACTCAACCTAAAAGGGGGGACTTCTGCCCCTAAACCAAGAAGACAAGGGCCACCCAGAACTCCCTCTGACAGGCGATCTGAATACGTGCTTAGGCTGCGAGGCTAGCACTGCAAGGAAATATAAATAAAAGATAAAAATATCTATCTGGGTTCCCTGAGGGACAAGCCTGACTGCATAGGGGTTGATGTCAAAAGTATCCCCTCTCCAGGAAAAAGACATCAGGATGGATATGGCCCTCATGCCTCACTGGACAACGACAGGGGGACTGGAGCCATTACAAGGTCCCCTTCAAATACTTGAGGTCAGGCCTCTATCCCTGCCTTCGCAAGATTAGAATTGCCACAGCCCTTCTATACTTAGAGAAGGGAGGAGATGTCAGGGACAGCCCTGCTTACACACTGAAGGCCTAAAATCAGCCATAGGCCTAAAATCAGCAATAGGCCTGTCATACATGTATACTAACAAATAAAAGATAAAAATATCTATCTGGGTTCCCTGAGGGACAAGCCTGACTGCATAGGGGTTGGTGTCAAAAGTATCCTCTCTCCAGGAAAAAGACATCAGGATGGGAATGGTTCTCTCATCTCACTGGACAACACATGTCATAGATAAATCACATGACTCATGAATTACTTTTTTTTATATAATTTATTTTTTCTCAAATCGTAATTCATTCACACAGGGGTTATAAACACAGAAAGGCAGGATGTGGGGAAGGGAATGACACAGGAGTGTGGGTGTTCAGGGGGAATACAGATATCTTTCAGAACCGGGTATCGGCTGGGTGAAGGTTCAGGGGATAAGTCACTATGACTCTGCCTATGACTCGCTTGTCCTTATCTAAGTTAGTATTGTCTGCCAAGGCTACCTATTTACAAGGTCTATGGCTACTCAGGCTTGTAAATTTCCATAAAAGCTGCCTGTTTATGTTAGCTTATGGCCATCTGTTTCAATGTTTTTTCCACTGAGACCCAAGACTTGGTGTTAGTATACATTGTATACCTTGTATACCTTGTAATGGCTCCAGTCCCCCTGTCGTTGTCCAGTGAGGCATGAGGGCCATATCCATCCTGATGTCTTTTTCCTGGAGAGGGGATACTTTTGACATCAACCCCTATGCAGTCAGGCTTGTCCCTCAGGGAACCCAGATAGATATTTTTATCTTTTATTTATATTCCCTTGCAGTGCTAGCCTCGCAGCCTAAGCAAGTATTCAGATCGCCTGTCAGAGGGAGTTCTGGGTGGCCCTTGTCTTCTTGGTTTAGGGGCAGAAGTCCCCCCTTTTAGGTTGAGTGGAGATGGGTTTTGGAAACACCCTGTACAAAGTAACAACCTCATCTTGAGTCTCGTGGTCCTCCATAGCTAACTTATGATAATGTATCTGAGTAGGTTTTGTTACCAAATTATTTATCTGTTGTATCACAGAGTTAGTCTGCCTATTTGAGGGCCAGGGACCAGCAGAAATAAGCAAAAAGAACCCAAATAATGATCCCAAGATGGGAGGAAATAGGGCTGACAACCTTGGAGAGGCTGGAAACCAATTCTTGTACCAGCATTCATCTGTCTCTTTCTCTCTCTGATTTTTCTTAGGGCTTTTTCTACCTATTTCATGCTCTCTTTAACCCTCCTTGTCTTGTCTATGTAAAGGCAACCTTCTTCTTTAAGGGCTGTACACAGTCAAGAGCTGTACACAGCCTTTTCTATTGTAATAGAGTAAATCAAGTCCAATAAGGATCTTTGCGATTTTAGGAGGTCTCTTCAGACAGTGAAATGAGGGATTTCTTCAGATTAGTGATGTCAATCTCTAGCTGTTTGATGTTCTTGTCAGTGGCCCTTCAAAGGTCTGATTAGTATAAGATTGGAGGCCAGCATCTGGATTAGAACTTCTAACAGCAGACATCACAGGTGATTCATTTTTACCTGGAAAGGAAAAAGAAGGGAATTCTCAGCGAAATTTCTCTTCCCTGGATATAGATTGTTATTCATCTTATTTATGGTTGGGCCTGGCTTTGTGGGGGTATCTATTTTTTTCATTAATCTTTTTGGTAGCTGGTTAGCTGTGCCTTCTGTGGTATCAGACAGACATATCAATCCTCGGCCCCATAAGGGAACTGGGTCTGGGCCATTCCCTTCAAGGGTAAGAGGGTCCTTCCTCATATCTGTGGCAAAGTTTTGTTGGTCTCAGTGGTGCTAGAGGCAGTCAGCAGCAGATTTGCCATGAGCTTTCAGCTTTAGAGAGATAAAAGTGAACAAGGCATGATGGAGAGTATTTCAGGGGGACTCCTTCTGAGGGGGTACCATTCCTCCTCTTTTGTTTTTAAAGCCAATTTTTCAGAGTTCTTGTAAAATCAGGGCAGAGGCACCAACAGTCACTCCTTCCACACTCAGAGAGTCATGAAGAGCCTGTTTAAGGATATATAAATCTATATTAATAATCTTTTGTCAAAGGACTGTTATAGCCCCACTGACAACTAATCAGACTCTATAATATATCGATTAGTAATAGCTTCTTCTACTTTTTGTGAGATTACCTCTCTTTTGTCAATTGTTGAGGAAAATTAGGATTTACATCTCTCTTGAGAATATTGAACAGACACTTAAACTCTTTTGTGGAGAGCTTAAAATAGGATCTTAGCCAATTAGCAACTCCTAGAAACTTTTGAAAATAATTTAAAATAAGTAAACTCTCTCCCTCTCTTTTTTGAAGACCCTTTATCTGTGTGTTTTTTTAAATTGGATATTATACGTATTTACCTTTCAATGTTATCTCCTCTCCTATTCTCCCCCAAAACCCCTTATTCCATACCCCCTCCTCCTACTTTTCGTGAGGGTGTGCTCCAAACATCCTCCCAGTCCCATCTCCCTGCTCTCGAATTCCCACACAGTAGGGGATCCAAACTTTTGGGGACCATGGCCCTCCACTTTCACTGAAGTCTAACCAGGTCACCCTCAATTCCCTATACAGGTGCATGAGTCCCTCCCTTTGTGCTCTCTGGCTGGCAGTTTAGACTTTGGGAGCTCTGGCTGAAACTTTTGATACTCCTTCTAGAAAGGACCAACACATCCACACTTTGGTCTTCCTTCTTCTATGTGTGTTTTATGTGATCTATACATTGTTTCCTAGAAATTGTGAGCTTTTGGGCTAATATCCACTTATCAGTGAGTGCATACCATGTATGTTCTTTTGAGATTGGGTCACCTCACTCAAGATGATATTTTCCAGCTCCATCCATTTGCCTAAGAATTTCATGAACTCATTGTTTTTAATAGCTGAGTAGTACTCCATTGTATAAATGTACCATATTTTCTGCATCCATTCTTCTGTTGAAGGGCATCTGGGTTCGTTCCAGCTTCTGGCTATTATAAATAAGGCTGCTATGAACATGGTGGAACATGTGTCCCTGTTGTATGTTGAAATGTCTTTTGGGTATATGCCCAGGAGTAGTATAGCTGGGTCCTCAGGTAACACTATGTTCAATTTTCTGAGATACCGCCAGACTGCTTTCCATAGTGGTTGTATCAGTTTACAATCCCACCAACAGTGGAGGAATGTTCCTCTTTCTCCACATCCTCGCCAACATGTGCTATCACCTGTGTTTTTGATCTTAGCCATTCTGACTGGTGTGATGTGGAATCTCAGTGTTGTTTTCATTTGCATTTCCCTGATGACTAGGGATGCTGAACACTTCTTTAGGTGCTTCTCAACCATTCCAGCTTCCTCAGTTGAGAATTCTTTGTTCAGCTCTGTGCTCCATTTTTTAATAGGGTTCCTTGATTGTCTAGAGTCTAATTTATTCAGTTCTTTGTATATCTTGGATATTAGCCCTTTATCAGATG